TATTTTGAGGTCTGGGTGTGGCAGGTGTGGCAGAGAGCACTAAGCTGATTGTGGAGGCCAGGACCCAGAGCTCCAAGTTGTTCTAGGGTTCGAGGATGGGAGTGTGTGCCAGGCCTGGGAATCCTGGCTCCTGGCCAGCTTGCTTGGGCCTTTTTACGTCCCCATTTTTGTAGAGTCCCTTTCCATGTAGTCTCAATTGTTTTTCTTTTTCTTTTCTTTTCTTTTCTTTTCTTTTTTTTTTTTTTTGGAGGCAGGGTTTCTCTGAGGCTTTGGAGGCTGTCCTGGAACTAGCTCTTGAAGACCATGCTGGTCTCAAACTCACAGAGATCCGCCCCCCTCTGCCTCCCAAGTGCTGGGGTTAAAGGCCACCACTGCCTGGCTTTTTTTTTTTTTTTTGAGTAGTCTCAGTTTTTTAAGACATTCTTTGATTCAGGTGTCACTATTGCAAGTAGGAAGCTCAGAGCATAAGTAACTTGCCCAGGATGGAGATCAGGCTATGATTGGTCCAGCTCTAGACAGATGGAGTCTATCTGAGGTGGTGGAGGCAGTGAGTGGTGGATATTACCTAGTGGCCTGGAAATTGAGCCAGATCTTGTCCCCACCCAGCCTTCTCCAGGCTCTGCTCACGGTGCTGTCCCAGGTGCTGCGTTTCGTGGAGACTGAATGGTACCTACCCCTGCTCGTGTGGTCCCTGGTGTTGGGCTGGCTAAATCTGCTTTACTATACACGTGGCTTCCAGCACACGGGCATCTACAGTGTCATGATCCAGAAGGTGAGAGATGGGGGTGCAGCCAGACTAGGGAGACCTGGACACCGCCTCCCTGTGGGTTCCTTTGGGCCTCATGAGGCGGGAGCTATCCTCTACAGCTAACCTGAGCAGAAGAAAACATGAGCTATTTGCCCATGAGTCGTTTACCCAGACACTTGCCCAACATTATTGCAGGTGTGGGTGTGCATGTACCTGGATGCCTTCATGCATATGCAGATGCATACACACACATTTGTTGGCAGCTGTCCACATAGGAACATGTGCATCCTTCATAAAGGAGCAGATAATATTCATATGCACTTACCCATTCATCTGAGCTTTGGGACATGGGGACATTTACATCGGTCTGCACCCATTTATTTCACAAGTGTTTAGGAGTGCTCCCTGTGGTCCTGGTTCTGTTCTAAGTGTTGGGAACACAGCAGTGAGCAAAACAGACGAGTCCTCCCTCTTTTGGAGCTGATGTTCCAGTGTGGGGAAAGAAATTGCGAACAAACAAGACAATAAACCAGTCCAGGATTTTGCTGACTACAAAGCCCCCCAGAGGAAACACACAGACAGTACTGTAGAGAATGGCAGAGTGAATGGTACCTTAGAGAGGATGGTGCATAGAACCCTTCTGAAGAGGCTTGTTTGTTTGGTTTTGGTTTTTCAAGACAGGGTTTCTCTGTATTGCTTTGGAGCCTGTCCTAGAACTTACTCTGTAGACCAGGTTGGCCCTGAACTCACAGAGAAGCCACCTGCTTCTGCCTCCCAAGTGCTGGAATTAAAGGCATGTACCACATCGCCCAGCTGAAGAGGGAGTTGGGAGTTGTTTTTAAGTTTTTTTTTTTAATGCAGTGTAGAAGATGGGATCCAGATCCTCATACAAATTAGGCAAGCACTCTACCACTGAGATGGCTCACACAGTCCATTAATGGTGACCTGGAAGAATGAGTCAGCCACCTCAGAGTGGAGGAGGAAGATCCTCTTCAGAGGGAACAATAAAAGTGGAGGCAAAGAGCCAGAAGAGGTGTAGAGTGCTTGAGACAGCCAGGAGACTGCAATGCCAAGGAGGCCAAGTGTGGGGTAGGGAGTAGGTAGCCGGTGGGTGCCCGGGCAGGGCTTTAACTTTCGGGTAAAATAGGGGCTGGAGAGGCTCCATAGATAGGATCAAAGTCTTACTCATATGCCTGCGGGCAAGCACTTTCTCCCACTTTCATCTGAGCTGGAGGCAGATTCTTTTAGAAGCTCCCACTGCTCAGAATGACCTGTGTTTGTGCACATACAGTCCGTGGGAGCGGTGTGTGCACAAAGGGACCCAACTTACGGGGTGTAGGGTTGGTAAACTGTGGACCATTCACCCAGTCTTTCCCATGGGCTTGTGTGTTCCAGGTCATTCTGCGAGACCTGCTCCGATTCCTGCTGGTCTACTTAGTCTTCCTTTTTGGCTTCGCTGTAGGTAAAGGCTCTTTTAAAACTTGAGTGTGTGTGTGTTCATGTGTAGTGCATGCACATGTGTGAATATGGGTCCATGAACTCTGGTGCATGCACGCAGAGAGACCTGAGCAGAGAGACCTGAGCAGTGTCTTCTGCTATTGTTGTCTGTCTTGTTGCCTTGAGACAGCATCTCTTACTGAACTGGAAGCGTACTGGTTTTTGACTAACATGGTCAGTGAGCTCTAGGGATCTATCTGCCTGTCTCTGCCCTGCAATGTTGGGGTTATAGCCACACATGGCTTTACTTTTTTTTTTCCTTTTTCTTTTTTTGGTTTTTCAAGACAGGGTTTCTCTGTATTGTTTTGGAGGCTGTCCTGGAACTAGCTCTTGTAGACCAGGCTGGTTTCGAACTCACAGAGATCCACCTGCCTCTGCCTTCTGAGTGCTGGGACTAAAGGCATGCGCCACCACCACCCGGCTCTTTTCTTTATTTTTAGAGACAGGGTTTCTCCGTGGATTTTTGGCTGTCCTAGAACTCACTCTGTAGATCAGACTGGCCTTGAACTCACAGAGATTCACTTGCTTCTGCCTCTGAAGTGCTGTGCCACCCAGCTGTGGCTTTGAAAATTTTAATTAATTATTTTCTCTGTGTGTGTGTGTGTGTGTGTGTGTGTGTGTGTGTCAGAAGACAACTTATGGGGAGGTGGTTTTTTTCCTTCCATCAAGTGGGACCTGGGGATCAAATTCAGGTCATCAGATTTGGAGGCAAACACCCAAACATGATGAACCATTTTGCCAGTCCTATGCCCAGCTTTTTGCATGGGTGCTAGAGAGTCAATCACAAGTTCTTATGCCTACAGCACAAGCACCTTTACCCCCTGAGCCATCTCCCTAGTCCAAATACCCCTTTTTTCTCCCTCCATCCCCTCAGCCTGCCTGGTTGTCTCCCAGACTGAGATTCCCCTCTCACTTACCTACAGCCCTAGTGAGCTTGAGCCGGGAGGCCCAAAGCCCCAAAGCCCCTGCCGATAACAACACCGCAGTGACAGAGCAGCCCATGGTGGGCCAGGAAGAGGAGGCAGCACCATACGGTGGCATTCTGGATGCCTCACTAGAGCTCTTCAAGTTCACCATTGGGATGGGTGAGCTGGCCTTCCAGGAACAGCTGCGCTTTCGTGGGGTGGTGCTGCTGTTACTGTTAGCCTACGTCCTTCTCACCTATGTTCTACTGCTTAACATGCTCATTGCCCTCATGAACGAGACTGTCAACAACGTTGCCAATGACAGCTGGAGCATCTGGAAGCTGCAGGTACTGCCAGTGAGGCGCCCCCTCTCACCCTCGGGACCCTGCTGAGGGTCCAGCACCCAGTTATGTGGGCTCAGTCCAGCAGAACTAACCAGATTTGTAGCCATTCATTCCTTCATATGGTTGTTGTGAGGATCTTATGAGCTCAGGAATATGAAGTGTCCAGGACAGTGCCTGGCACATAGTAGGTGTTCATTGAGTCAGTTACCATGATCCATTGGCATTATTATTGAGACGGTCTCACTACATATCACTGACTGGCCTCCAACTCACAGCAACTCCCCTGCCTCAGGTGTGAGTTACCCTGCCTAAATAGCAAGCGTGTCTGGAATGCCTCTTACTGGTACAAGCCCTGTGGAGAACAAGGCAAAGGACCCTCCTGAGCTCCACATATGTAAAATATAGATTGATGTGGGAGGTGGGGAGAAAGATTGGGGAGCTCTGATATGACCCCCACACAGAGGCATTACCAGTGTCTGACTTGATTACAGAACCATTAGCTGTTTAGGTGTTGGCCAGGGAGAGCCTGGAGGTTGGACTCTACTGCTACATTGTTGCTGTCCTTGGGCCATTTCCTCCTTGAGCCTCAAGTGCCAGCACCATCGGGGTCTGGGATGCCCTGGCACGTGTGTGAGGGGGCATGCACATGAGAGAGGGGTGTGGTCTGGAGGCTGAAGTGCTTAAGAAAGCCACTATGACCACTCCTTATGTGTCTACCATAAACACCACTGAGGTGTCTTTCCCTTAGTTTACAGATGGGGAAACTGAGATTCTGAGAGGATTGGAACCTCGTGCCCCACAGGAAACCAGATATAGCATGCAAGCTAGATCCCAGTTCACGTGCTTAAGTTCTGTGAGGGCATCTTTCCCCCTTGCTCTTGGTGCTTCATCCTCCAGGCAGGGTCTCAGAGTGCCTTGTTTGGTGTGTCCTTTGTCCCCAGAAAGCCATCTCTGTCTTGGAGATGGAGAATGGTTACTGGTGGTGCAGGAGGAAGCAGCACCGATCGGGGAGGAGGCTGAAAGTCGGCACCAGGTGGGACGGTGTGCCTGATGAGCGCTGGTGCTTCAGGTGAGCTAAGTGGGCGGGGCACGGTGGGAGCAGGGATAGCCCAGGATAGCCTCCTGATGGCTGCAGGAATCAGGTGTGGTAAGGAGTGCCAGGATACTCCATCTGGATGGGTAAGGTCAGGGATGCTGGATCTAAGAGACACACAGACCCCACTCCTGACACTGCGGTCACTGCCTGTGTTTTAACTTGTCTAGCTTTGCCATCCCAGTGGTATAAACTTAGGGTCCCTCCTTGGTGACTCCTGACTTCCTCTCATGCCAAGAAGCCAATATTCTGGGGTCACTATGGTTACCCTCATCCCTAGTTCTTCTAGTCTGATCTTGGAGCTATATCCCCTTCCTTGGAAACCAAGCTTTTCAATGTTCCCTCTCAATTGCCAACAAAGGAAATGTGTTAACAAATGTCCAGTCATAGCATACACCTTTACAGGCAGCAGCTGAGCAAGGGAGAAAATGAGGGCTTTATTTGTGATGAGCAGCCACAAAAGAGCTTAGAACTTGCCGCACAAAGATACACCTGACCCCACTCCCTTGCTCTGGTTGCTCTGGGTAACCCAGACACTGAGAATCATTGGGAAGAAGGGTGCCTCTTCCACGTGGACACCTGGCTTCAGGGGCTGTAATCCAAGAGTCACAGGATCAGTACTTGTGGGATGGGTGGACCAGTACCTTGTTAGGGAGGGGCAGAAACAAAAAAACATGTTCCTCATTATCTGTACAGTCTATTGGGAGAAAGGAGATGATTCCTCCCAGGGGCAAAGCTTGCTAGCTTCTCTGAACTTTGGGGCTGTTTTGTCAACCGCAGGGTAGAGGAAGTGAACTGGACTGCATGGGAGAAAACGCTCCCCACCTTGTCTGAGGATCCTTCAGGGGCTGGTGAGTAGCCTTGGGGCTAGTGCCCTTGCCCTGGGTCTTGTGAGCATGCACTGTGTGTTTGCTGGCAACACAGCCTTTGAGAGTCCAGGGTGGGACTCAGAGCCCTGTTTGGCTGATTTGCAGCTGTGCTCACACTTGCTCCTCCTGCAGGGGTTGGTGCCTTAGTCCCTCTCTATGGCAAGCCTGCCTGTTGGCCTGTCTAGGGAAAGATTCTCAGCTCAGAGTATGCTCTTCCCTTCTGTCTCACTCTGGCCTCTTTGCTGTCTTCTCTCCCTGCCCTGGTTATCAGCTGCACCCTTTGTCCAGGCTTGGGCTGGATTTGGTTTCCAGCAAGGGAAGAAGTTAGGGAGTATGTTCCCCCCAAGTCCTCCATCCTATCCTGGCTCACAGCAGAGGCAGCATCTCCCTGGGCCACGGCTTTGCTTGACAGGTCAGCCTACCTGACCTGAGATTTCTGCCACTACATAAGCACCGCCCCCCTGAGCCCCACAGTAGAAGTCACTTCCTGCCAGGTGGTGGCGCACGCCTTTAATCCCAGCACTGGGGAGGCAGAGCCAGGTGAATCTCTGTGAGTTTGAGGACAGCCTGGTCTACAAGGCGAGTTCCCAGACAGCCAGAACTATTACACAGAGAAAGCCTGTCTCTCAATACCAAAAAATAAATAAATAAATAAATAAATAGTCACTTCCTGTAAGTCTCTGTGACATTTGGCCTTTCTGTTCTAGCATAGTAAGAACCCTTCCTGTCTCCACCTCTCTGCCTCCACTAAAACCAACATCTCCACAGCTTTCAGGGGTTCTCTCGTTTCCCTTCTCTTTCCTACCAAATGTCTCCTGCCAAATGCCCCCGCTTTCTCCCTAATGCCCACCCAAGGTGAGTGTGACCTGTTACAAGGAGGCTCCTGGCATCTTGCTGCTCCAAAGCTTACTGATTTCCCACCTCCTTCCCTACACCAAGGCTTCCTTTCCACTTTCTCTACCTATTCTTACAATGCCAGGATAATGAGTCATTTTGCTCTCCTCCCCCCAATCAGGTCCAGGTATTCCATACCCAAATCCCCATCCCAAACTCTGCTGCAGGCTGGCCGCCAGCCTGACTGCAAACAGATTTGGGGTTGCCCTAGCAGGTAGCATGTATGCAGCTTCACCCTTAACACCCAGATGGGGGCTCTCTGCCCATCTCTCCTTTCTGATGCCGATGCCCTTGGCCTCTCAGGCATCTCCTTACAGTTTCACTTCTGTGCCCACTACAAGGTGTCTCAGGATGCACCCTAACCTTCAGACAAACTTTCTGCTTCAGGCCTGTCCCACTCCATCCTAGCTAATGCAGACAAGGACTTCACAGGGCCCACACTACACAGCCCCTGAAGGGTCACAGTCCCAGAGCTGTTGTCCTACCCATTCCTCAGAGTTCAGTCAACATGGTAGCCATTCGTGCTGTGATTCTCTTGGTTCTTTGCTTCCTTGACACTCCTCTGTCTCTGTCCTCTCCTCTCCCCAGGGTGTCCCTGTCCACCCCCAACTCTAAAGAAGGGTCTCCTCTCTCCTCCGAGCTCCCCGAGTTCCTGACCCACTTCTCTCCTGCTCTTTAGTGTGTCTCAGGTGTTCTGATCTCTGACAGAGCCCGTCAGCTCTGGGGGCTTTTGAGTTCTGTGGTGAGACTCCTGAATGGCCCATGGAAGGGGGTCACAGATTCTTGTCGGAGGAGGAAAGCAGGGAGATGGAGCTCCAAGATTGGCTGTTATACCCAGAACGTGGTGGGCCTTCATGGTTGTGGCCTTTTCTTGTTTCCTTGGCACTTACTGCCAGGGATATGCCAAAGGCAAGGCCACAGTGTTCCTTACTCCATTACAGGTAATGAGAAGAACCCAGCCTCTAAACCTGAGAAGAGCAGTGCCTCCGAGGAGGACCATCTGCCCCTCCAGGTCCTCCAGTCTCACTGATGGCCCAGATGCTGCAGCAGGCTGGCAGGACCAAATGGGGGATCTCCCCAGCCACACCTGCTGGCTCTGAGATTACTGAATTTGGTGGAAATATATTTTTTTGTGTAACTAAGTGGTCTAGAAGTATTATTTGAATAAAATTATGGGGGCCCTTGTACCTGGTAATATCCGTATGTATCTCTAGGTGCCCACCAGGCTCTGGGGCTAGTCTGCTCAGAAACCTTCACTGGCTGGTCACACCTCAGCTCCAGCACTGTCCTCTTCCACATGGCAGGCTGAGGGTTGGGTACGAATGAAGTCACTTTCTCACCTCTAGGATGACTAAGTCTCCATTACAATCTGGGTTGTAGCTTTCCCACCCCCTGGGCCTCAGTTTCTCACCTCTCCTCACCATTCTCTGCAGGGAAGCCAGAAGGACCCTCTTGAGACATAAGACAAGCAAGTTACCTCTGAACTCTGAAGGCCTGAGAGAAGTATCCTCAGCCTTGCATGTTTTTGCCCATGATTTCCAGGTTCTCCCCCACCCCACTCCAAACACCTTTTGCTTTCAGGGGAATTTGACGAAAAGGCCTTTCTCTTAATCATTCATGAAACCTGAAGGGCCTCACATTTGACTGTTTCACTTGGCATTTGCTAGATGTTTCTGTAATTTGAAACTCCCAGAAGGAAGACAGCAAGGTGGGAGCTGCACCTGTATTAAACATTCAAGGCCAAATGACTTGTTTGTAATTGTCTTTCAAACCACAGCCAAATTTTCTTGGGCTATATTTGATCTCTTGGAACCCCTGCCCTGCTGTGTCTGATTTAACATCCTTGTGGCTATCAAAACCTTACACTGTCGGGCGTTGGTGGCGCACGCCTTTAATCCCAGCACTCCGGAGGCAGAGGCAGGTGGATCTCTGTGAGTTCGAGGACAACCTCCAAAGCCACGGAGAAACCCTGTCTCGAAAAAACCAAAAAAAAAAAAAAAAGCACCGGCTGCTCTTCCAGAGGTCCCGAGTTCAATTCCCAGAAACCACATGGTGGCTCACAACCATCTACAATGAGTTGTGGTACCCTTTTCTGGCCTGCAGGCATACGTGCAGACAGAACACTGTATACATAATAAATAATAAATGAAATAAAAATAAAACCTTACGCTACCATTCTTAGCAGACCATTAGTTTCCACAAACCCCAAAGTGAAGGTCACTGGACAGCACCTGAAACCTACTGCTGTAACTTGCTAATTGTGGTCCCTTACAAATGACTTGTTCAGTAACTTAAAAAAACTTATAAAACTTCCTCCAAAATGGAACATGGTATTTGGGGAGACCTGAAACTGCCTGGGGTCGCTCATATTTGGCTCCAAAATAAACAATTTTTTTTTTTTTTTTTTTTGGTTTTTCGAGACAGGGTTTCTCTGTGGCTTTGGAGGCTGTCCTGGAACTCACTCTGTAGACCAGGCTGGCCTCTGCCTCCCGAGTGCTGGGATTAAAGGCGTGCGCCACCAATGCCCGGCCCAAAATAAACAATCTTATTCCCTTTGAATTGAGACTTCCTTCTGTGCACTAAAATTCTAGGTTTATTTCCTGGACCACTTTTTAAATTACTGTTTCATGACTACCTGACAGTTCTCTTCTGTCAAAACTGCATATGAAGTATATGCAAGCACAGATATGTGTGTTGCTGGATGGAACTGGCATCTCATATATAGCCAGATTGGTTTTGAACACACAAGAACCTTACTCTAGTCTCCTGAGGGCTAGGATTACAGGCTCATGTAATCCCGGCCTCAAACTCTCTGTGTAGCTGAAAAAGACCTAAAACTTCTGATTCTGCTGCCTCCACAACCCCAGAATTTGAGAGTTTGCCACAATACCCTAGTACTGGGGGGTGGAACTAAGAACTTCATGTTTGTTACGTCCTCAACCCCTAAGAGACACCCGAAGCCGGGCGTTGGTGGCGCACGCCTTTAATCCCAGCACTCGGGAGGCAGAGGCAGGCGGATCTTTGTGAGTTCGAGGCCAGCCTGGTCTACAGAGTGAGTTCCAGGACAGCCTCCAAAGCTACAGAGAAACCTTGTCTCGAAAAACCAAAAAAAAAAAAAAAAAAAAAAGAGACACCCGAACATGCTCATATGCTAATGGGATAGTATCAGTTTTCTATTGCCCAAGAGGTTTAAGTCTGAAGCAAAAGTCAGAAGCATAAAGGGTAAGGGACAATGAAAAATACATCAAATAAGACTTCCTCTTGACTATAATTCTCTAAGGAATGTGATGAGGGTTGTCTGCATAGTATTGAGACAGAAATGGGGCGCAGAACGGCCCGAATCATTAAAGCATTATTGTCTCTGAATGCAGTTTTGGGTGTGATATCTGAGGCGAGCCAATGTTTTACTCTCTATTCCCAGGTCCTGAGGATTAAATGCATGCTTACACTGGCTCTTCACTACCCAGCTAGATTACTTGGGGCCTTCTTTCTCCCCTCTCGCCCGACTCTCCTTTTCATTTGAGACAAGGCTCACCAGATTGCCCAGACTGGACTCAGACCCTGAAGCAATTGTGATTTCCGGTCTGCGCTATAAAATCTAACTTCACCCTTTCAAACTTCACACGAGTTTACAAAGGACTGAGAATTCTCCGAAGACCACCGGGTAAAAGGTGGTCGCGCAGAGAACGGAAGCAAAGCCGCGCTTAAGCCTTGGCGCAGGCGCACTGAAACGCGCGGCGCTCTTCGTTACCCAGAAGTCCTGGGGCGGTGGAGACCACTCACTCAACAGCACGGGGGAGTCTTGCGTAGCGAGGCGGGCTGAGCGCCAGGAGCTCCCATGAGCCTTTGCCATTCTCACCCTCCATTGCGTGAGAAGTGGTCTATTCCAGACCCTTAAGAGTGGGGCGCACACGGCTCGCAGTCTCTTGCTCTGCGGACTCCGTGAGGGTTTTTCCCTGTTTTTCGTAGCTTGCTCTGTAGCGTGGGCTGGTGCGATGCTGAGTTGGCCCGGCTTCCCAGCCCCAGCATGGGTCCTGCGCAGACATGGGGGGGCTGGGTAGGTCGGGGTCTGCAACCCGGGCCACCGCGTGTGTTCTGGGTGTCGGCTGCTCAGATGATACTAGTAACAGGAAGTGCCGTCCGAGGCGACGACTGACGACCTCCCTTTTGAGCTGATCGCAGTCGCACGAGCCACGGCGATTGACTGCTGAGCACCAGAGTTCCAATGTCTCTGGACGCTTATCCTTTTACCCTTTCAAGGGGGATTGGCAGGACGTCGAGTGGGAGCAGTACCCCGCCATGAGGTAAGAGTTTCTGGCTAAAACTGTAGTTTCGTTACTTGTGTCCCAGCCACAGCCCCTGCTTTATGCAGAAGGCTAAGTTTTCCCTGGCTCTGTTAAGAGGCCTATTAGTCTATCGTAACCACCTGAACTCATGTCAGGGAGTGTTCTGGTCGCGACAACACCATTCACGTGGACATGGGCATATGCCTAGTTTAAAAAGGGTCTACAGCTAATGGCTGAAAGTAGGGGTTGGTGTGGGACAACGCAATGCTTGACTGCTATGATGAGATCACTAATAGGAAGTGCCGTCAGAAGCGATAACTGACGATAACTATTCCTGGCTGACTGCAGTCAAGCCCTCACCAGTCGCTGGTGTTTAGGGTTAACTCGGTCTGAACTATAACAACTGCCATATTTATGCCTAGGTCGGAAATTTGGAGTGAAGGACTGCCAGCAGCCGTGGCCTTCCACGAGGTAAGCATTAATTCATATGCATCAGTCCCGCCTGACTTGGAATGTCTGCACTCAATACTGTTTGAGTTATGTGGAGTGTCTAGGTGTGACTGTGGGGGGCCACCACGTGAGTGCTGGGAATCAAACCTGGTCCCTTAAATTTAAAATTTTTCCGTGTGGCAGTTTGGACAGCTCATCTTGCCATTTGGGTCCTATGGAGTGAACCCGGAAGCAGTCTCACTGGTTAGAATGGCATTTTAGTAACTTGAAAAATATATACACCTTATAAGGTCGTCGATGCTTTTGTTAGGTTGTCCTTAAAAGCTAGGTTTCAGTGGGACTGCCACTAGAAATAACATACTGTTCCTAAAATCTTAGGAGTGTCCATTTCCTCAAGAATTGGGAGAACAAAATGCCGGAATGCAGCCTGTCTCGGCCGCAGTGGAGGAGGTAAGTTTGATCTCTACAGTGATAATCTCAAGCAGATAGTTGTCATTCTGGAAGGATATCAAATGATGAGATCACCTAAAATAGCTGGAATTACCGGCAGATTGGTAGTGGTGAGCCTATGGTTTTCTGAAGATGCCTTTAGATGTTGGGGATGCCATTGGTTAGAGCAAGTGTGATTCTGAAATTTAGTTCTTTGCAGGCCCTGTCCAGAAGCGTCTCCAGCAGCAGTGCCACCATCAACTCGGGCCCCCTTGAGTATTGTTGTGGAAGTACTCCCGAGCAAGTCTGCCCACCTTGTTCTGGTCAGGCACATTGGGTGAATCATCCTGCCCCACAGGAGCCTCTACCTCTTAATAAATGCCTGTTTACAAAATTGGTTGCCGTTGTATTGGATGAATTAACTCACAGGTCAGAATGTACAGCAGTTATGGAGCACTATGTAGTAAAGCAGGATCTTTGGTATTGGTTCTTAAAAATATGTATTTTAAAAGTGTCAGGTGTTAAACAGTCCAGCTTAGTACTGTAAACTTCAGGTCAGTCTAAGCTGTTTTCACAACCGAAGACTTGGGCAAAGACTCCAAAGCCTTTAAGGCACCCACACTGGATTCCTATCCTTTGGCTGTACCATGTAAGGAAGGCTCCAATCTCGCCCCAGATCCTATAAGCTAGTTTTCTCAGTTGTCCTGTAAGGCTTTGCTTCCCTGAATATGGATTTTTGCTCCATCTAATTCAGAATAGTTCCTGGCTTCCTTTGGGAGCATTATTGGAAAAATAAGGTATAGAAGCCTCAGTTCTAACTAGTCCTGGGGCCTTCTCATGGTATTAAGTGCTTGAAAAGCCATTCCTGTGACTTAATACTGGGAGCAGGGCCTAAAGCTGCTAGAAAAGTTGTGTTGGTTGTGGGGTAAAGGAAGTAGGCATGGTACTGCCCTTCACAGTAAGACCCCTAGCCAAGAAAGGTCTGCAGCTTCAATTTGATTTTCCATACTTAATGCTCTGAACTACCCATGGCCTTTAAAAAAGGCCCCTTTGAATTGGGTGCTCCAAGGGTCTTTAATATAAAGTTCCTCTTCCTGTACGGGAGGAGTGGTCTCACACACAGCACTAGTGGAACAGTGCTTTGTCCAGCTACACAAGTGGAGAGCCAGCTGAGTGGAGACATCCGTAGAGCAAGAGATACCTTCCTCGTGGCAGGCACTGGGAGTTGGGAACAAAAGGTTACTGCTTTGATCTTATCCTGGTCTTTGGGTGGGGTTCAGATTTTCTGATGAGAAGAGCTCCTAACCTGCCTTAGCCATCCTCTCAAGTTCTCCCTACTTGCAGGTCATGTCTGGGATATAATCTCCCTGCTCTCATGGTCTCTGGTAGGTGTCACAGGGCTTTCCCCTGGGTCCTGCTGGCTTGTGTCTTCCCTGGCCTCTTCCCCGGTACCTGGCCCCTCACCCAGCTCCAGGATGGTGGGTAGGTGGCCCTGTTTCGGAGAGCGCTTACGAAGGCTGAGCAGGAAGGGCTGGGGTAAAGAGAAGATGTCCACGTTGTTGCCCAGGTCAATCCATGTGACATTGGGGAACTTGCTGGGGTCCTTCAGGGTGTCCGTGAGGTCCCTCAGCAGAGCCCTGGTCAATCGGTTGCCATTGAGGGCTAGTGTGGTGAGGCGGGGCAGGGTACTGAGTGCTGGTAGTAGCTGCAGAACCATGTCGTCTGTGAGGCCTGTGAAGCCCAGCTCCACACTGTCCACTTGCTCTCCACAGCGCTGAAGATAGCTGGTCACCCTCTCCAGGTCACGTGAGGTCAGTGGGATGCCTGACAGATCCACCATGTTGTCTGGAGGATTCCCAGCTAGGAGAGCCTTGAGACTGAAGGAAAGAAGGAATAAGGCTAAGCAAGCAGGGCAGGCCTTTCTTGGAGGCAGTATTGACTGTCAGCACGGAACTGGCCTCTGCTTAACTCTGATCTGGGACCTCATCTATCCCTTGTCAGGATGGGGAGTCCACAGCATCTGCTTCAGGCTCAGCAGAGCGGGCAGAGCATAAGGATGGAGGCTGCCATTCCAGTAGCTCTCTAGCTAGTTCATAATGGTTTGTGCTTCATTCAGTTGCTCGACTAATAAAAAAGTTACTATTATAGGGTTAAAAACCAAAGCCGGGCGTTGGTGGAGCACGCCTTTAATCCCAGCACTCGGGAGGCAGAGGCAGGCAGATCTCTGTGATTTCGAGGCCAGTCTGGTCTACAGAGTGAGTTCCAGGACAGCCTCCAAAGCCACAGAGAAACCCTGTCTCAAAAAACCAAAAAAAAAAAAAAGAGGAACACTAAGTAGTAAGTGTTACAACAGTGCCTCCTATAGGCAGGTGAGTAAATGCTGTCATTGTTAGTCACTTGGGTTGAGCTCACAATCGAGTGGCAGCTGACTTGCCTCCAATACCAGAGGACAGCTTTCAGAGGAGAAAGCAAAAGGACTCCTGGTGGCTTGACGCTTTCATCTCCTTCCTTGCTATCTGCTACCCCGTGCCTGGTCAGGAGCCAGTGTGCCCCCAACCACTGTCCCATTGGTAAGACACTCATTCTCTGAATTTCCAAATGGCTGAAGCAAGCCCTAACCCTCCTACCCTGGGGATGGCTCAACTTGCTGCAAGAGTGTGTGTCTATGCCGGCAGCTGAAGGGTCACAGCCTCACCGAAGCAGCTACCTGGGGGCCCTCTTGAAGCTGGATCTCTTATGAATTCAAAGCCTGTCTAGTTTGCATAGTGAGTTCTAGGCTAGCCAAGGCTATATAGCAAAGACCTTGTCTTTTTTTTTTTTTTTTTTTTTTTGGTATTTCAAGACAGGGTTTCTCTGTATTTTGGAGGCTGTCCTGGAACTCGCTCTGTAGACCAGGCTAGCCTAGAACTCACAGAGATCCGCCTGCCTCTGCCTCCTGAGTGCTGGGATTAAAGGTGTGCGCCACCAATGCTCTGCTGACTTTGTCTTAAAAAAACAAAACAAAAAACTGGGTATAGTGGTACATGCCTTGCATTCTAACTCTTGGGAGACAGATGGATCTCTGTGAGTTCAAGGCCAGCCTGGTCTACATAATTAGTTCAAGGATAGCCAGCACTATCCTTTGAGACCTTGTCTTAAAACTAACAAAAACCCCAAACAAAAACTCCAAGCAACCCCTGTTGGACCCTTCCCCCATAGGGATCTGCTGACCAGCTTGAGACTAGGAGTTTATTTAGCAAATACCTCTTGTTCCCCTCCTTCCAATAAGGCCTAAATGCAAGTTCCTGTTATCTGCCCATCCTTATTGCCTGAATGCAATAAGGGGTAGGGAGAATTGGAGAGGTGGCTTAGTAGTTAAGAACACAAACTGCTCTTGCAGAGGATTTGAGTTTGGTTCCTAGTACCCTGTCAGGCAGCTCACAACTGCTTGTAACTCCAGCTCCAGGGAATCTGATGCCATCTGCAAGAGCAGCCAGTGTTCTAACTCAATGAGCCATCTCTCCAGCCTCATGATGATAATTGTCAATGTCTAGAAACATGTGGGAAGAGCCTCCATAATTGTCTAGATCGGGTTGACCTGTGGGAATGTCCGTGGGGAACTGTTTGGATGCTTGTGTTAACTGACACAGGAAGACTCAGGCTGAAGTTAGTCCAGGAATGTCTGAGTGGAGAGCTGAGAGTCAAGCATGCATGCATTCATTTCTTTCTGCTTTTGACTGTGGATGTGACTAGTGGCTTCAATTTCCTGCCATCTTGACTCCCCCACAGTGATGGACTGCAGCATGGAACTATAGATCAAATAAACCCTTTCCCCCTTGAAGTTGCTTTCGTCAGTCTTTTTTTTTTTTAAGAGAGAGAAGGGAACTGACTTGTCCTCTCTAGCCCACTGGAAGCCACTCTGATGATTTGAGCACAGAACCAGGGCCTTGCCAGTCTTTGAGAAGGCAAGTCACTCACCTGTGTCATTTGTCCAGCCTGCCTCTCAGCTGGGTTCCCTTGCTTCCTACCATGAGACCTGTTCTGTGTATTGTGTCTCAAGCCCTCTATCCTCTACTCCTGTATGGCTGAGACAAGGCTAGACTCTAGATCCCCTGGAAGGACATCCCAGAGAACTTTCTGGAAGTGGGTTGTGATGGTCACAACTCGAGGCAACCTTCTTGCCTAGGCCTCCAAAGTATAGAATTGCAGAGGTACCCCCATGGTGCCTGGTTTCCATCCCAGGGTACTAGGAACACCAGGAACTAGAAATGCCTCATGTCCCCTCCCCACCTGTCCATCTGCAGGGCATGCTCCCCAGTTCCTACGCCAGGGAGCTCCTTTTCAGCATCTCTCATGTATCTGGAGTGACCAACTTACTTTTCCGGTTCTTAAATCCAGCATGATCTTACCTCCTTCAAGCAGAATTTACTGATATACCCTCTGGCTCAGGCCCTTCCCTTGGCACTGTCCCCCAGGAAGGGTGTCAGTCAGCAGGGCTGGGGCAGGGCAGACTATAGGGACTGCCACTCACCAGGCCTGTGGCTTCCTCTTCACCAGCCCTCGATGCCTCCTCCACTGTGAATGAGGGCTAAGGTGGTAGGTCAGCTGCCGGCACAGCTTCTCCATGGCACCCAGCGCGTCACCCTCCTGCAGAGGCAATCACAGGCACAGGTCTGTGAGGTGACCCTGGAGGGCTTGGAGGTGTCCTGACACCTACTCTAGACTCCCTGGCTCTCTCAGAGCTCAGCACAAGGGAGGCCTGCTCTGCTGGCCCCAGTGAGTACCTATGGCAGGAGCAGCAGGTACAAATAATGCGTGTGTACGCGCGTGTGTGTGCGTGTGTTACTGGGAATGGAACCCAGGGCCTCAGACATGGTAAGCAAGTGCTCTACTGTCTGAGTCTCTGCTTTGTGAATTAGTTGCTATTACTAGGAAACCTGACACATATAAAAAGTCTGGATTGCAGGTAGTCTGACCATGACTAGCTAGAGCAGACCTGTTAAGCCAGAAATTGTATGACCCCTGCCAACTCGCAGTATCTAGAGTCATTTTGTTCCCTGGCACAATATATCTTTGAGTGCTTACTAAGAAGCAGTCATGAACAAAGGTTCTTGTAGTTCACATAATAAAATGACTTGTTTTTATTTATGTCTTTCCCCAAAGTGGGAAAACAGAAATCTGAGAGGGGCAAATCTTTCCCCATGCAGTCTGCCCATCTACAATACCTTTTGCTTCATTACCATTTAAAAACATTTTTATGGGTGTTGGTGGCTCACACCTTTAATCCCAGCACTCAGGCGAAGGCAGGCAGATCTGGTCTACAGAGTGAGTCCTAGGACAACCTCCAAGTCAATACAGAGAAGCCCTGTCTTGAAAAACCAAAACCCCCCCAAAACAAAAACCATTTTTATTTCATGTGTATGGATGTTTTGTTTGTATGTATGATTGTTCCATATGCATGCAGTTCCTACAGAGGACAGAAAGTACATTAGACTCCCTGGAACTGGAGTTAGAGGCGATTGTTAGATACTATGTGGGTGCTGGAAATCGAACCAGCATACTCTTCAAGAGCAGCCAGTACTCTCCAGCCCTCTCTTTCTCTCTTCTTTCTTTCCTTTTTTTTTTTTTTTTTTTTTTTTTTTGGTTTTTCGAGACAGGGTTTCTCTGTAGCTTTGGAGGCTGTCCTGGAACTCACTTTGTAGACCAGGCTGGCCTCGAACTCACAGAGATCCGCCTGCCTCTGCCTCCCGAGTGCTGGGATTAAAGGCGTGCGCCACTAACGCCCGGCTTCTCTCTTCTTTCTTAAAAAGATTTATTTATTATGTATACAGTGTTCTGCCTGCATGTATATCTGCACTCCAGAAGGGGGCACCGGATTTCATTATAGATGGTTGTGAGCCACTATTTGGCTGCTGGGGAATTGAACTCAGGACCTCTGGAGGAGCATCTCTCTCTCTCTCTCTCTCTCTCTCTCTCTCTCTCTCTCTCTCTCTCTCTCTCTCTCTCTCTCTCTCTCTCTCTCTCTCTCTCTCTCTCCTCTCTCATTTCTCTGTGTAGCCCTGTGTGTCCTGGAATTCAACCTGTAAACCATGCTGGCCTTGAACCCAGGGATCTGCCTGCCTCTGCCTCCTGAGTCCTGGGGTTAAAGGTGTGTGCCACTTGCTACGCAGCTCTATATTGATTTCCAAACCCTCAACTACCCAGAATGTGACTATATTGAAAGACAGGACATTTAAGGTTAATTAAAGGAAAAATGAGGCCATGCGAGTGGGCTTTAACTCAATACAACGTGTGTTTAGAAGTGTCTAGGGCACAGACATGTCTAGAGGAAAGATCTATGTATGCTTGCAGGGAAAAACTCTTCACAGAAGACTAGGAGAAGCTGCATCTTGGCCTTCCGACCTCTACAACAGTGAGAACATTAATTTCTGTCAATTAAGTCACTGGATTATACACTGGGATAACTGCAGTGTAAAGATTTAATAGAGAAACACCAACTCCATCTCAAGGAGAATCAATTCAACACAGCCCTGTACCAGCTCTAAGCTGGGCGGGAAGTGCGAATGCCACGCCAGGAATGGGCAAGAATGTACTCCTGTCAGAAGGCCCAGTGCTGGGGGCTCCAATGCAAACCACAAACAGGAGGTGGTGAGGTTCGAGGTTCAATGTATCCAGCACTATCAGCTTTCTTACTATTATTTTTTTTTAGTATCTTTTCGATTAAGATTACCATTGCCACTCTGCTAATGGAGAAGCAGTCTATGAAATCGTTTAGAACATGGGACTTGGGACCAGACTGTGCGGTTTCATGTCCTGGTTTTGTCTGTGGCCTTGAGTTCCTGTCCTGTGTGTGTGGCGGTGGGGGAGCAACACTGGCTTCAACATGGGTTTGAGGATTAACTGAGTCACCACCATTCAGGTGCTTTGTACAGAACCCAAGCTTGCTCAATGAGTACAGTCTGTAACCTGAACACATCCAGGCATTCAACCAAACGCAGATCAAGAGTACCCAGAAAAGCCAGACATGGTGGTGAATGCCTTTAATCTCAGCAGAGGCAGGAGGATCTCTGTGAGTCTGAGGCCAGCCTGGTCTACATAGTGAGTTCCAGGACAGCCAGGAGAGACCCTACCCGGAAAAGAGTGATGTCTGTATTGAACATGGACAGGCTTATTTTTCTGTCATTACTCTGTAAGCCTTGTAGCACGACCATTACTCCTATAGCATCTACCTGGATGGCGTGCTTATGGCAAAGGAGGGTGTACACATGTACCACGCTGCTTTATGAAGGGACAAGTGCATTTGGTATCCACAGGGTCCTGGTGCTCATCCTCCATGTAGGAAAAAAAGCGTCAGCCAAAGAAACACACCTTGAGCAGAGCCAAAAGAAACACACTTTGGCCCTGCAACCAGAACCAAAGAAATGTACCCTGACCCTGAAATCAGTGCCAAAGAAAATGCCACTAGAATCAGAGCCAGTGAGATAAATACACCCTGTCCCTAAAATTAGAGCTAAAAGGCTAAAAAGAACCAGTGAAAGAAACACACTTTGGTCCTGAAACCAGGGCCAAAGCTGACCCTGAACTTGAGCAGAAAACTAACCAATCCCTGAGCAGGAGATCTAGCTAATCTGAGTTTAGGATTGAAATCTCACCAATCCTCAACCTGGAAATCCCCCTGGAAAAACTCCACCCCTAACAAACCCTATATAAACCCTGTGCCTGTTCAGCTTGTGGCTGTCTAGCTGTCTTTTGCCACCCTGGCAGAGGGGCAACCGCTCTCCTGGATTCTTCCCTCCCAATAAATCTCATGAATAAGGTTTGGGTGAGACCTTCCTTCGATGGAATGGACAGAGCATGGCTGTAACGCTGGGGAAAACTTTCCCCTAGCTTAGTGGCGTTGTTACACTCCGGTGGACTAGAGTTGAACTGTAACAGCTTTGCTGGAGAAGCCCTCTCCTGCCAGAGCAAAGCTATGACACTGGGGAAGCCTTTCCATGGAGCAGGACTATAAGCTGCTACAGTACACTTACTGTGACCTGTGGTAGTCCTTGGCTCCTGAGTGCCAGAATACCTTTCCATCTGAGCTGTAACACTCAGTATTCTTTAGCTCCCAAGTGCCAGAATCCCCATCCATCTGATCTGTTGCAATGCTTACACTCCATGGAAAGAGCAGTATGCTGAGCTTCAGTGCTAAAGACCAAACATCATTTCTACCTGGGCTCAGATGTAAGCTGGTTTTGTTGCTGTTTTTGAGACAGGGTCTTCCTGTTGTCTGGAAATGACTGTAGATTAGGCTCAAACTCAGAGATCTGACCACCTCTGCCTCCCAGGCATGAGGATTAAAGGCATGTGTCACCATGCCCAGCCCTTAAATTGAGTTTTTAAGAGCAGATGGATAGCAGTTTCATTTTTTGATTATTTTTTTTGATGGAGAAAGGAAATCTGAGATATTTCTGAATGAGGAGCAATAATTGGTGAGGGTAGGTTTTTTTTTTTTTTTTGGTTTTTTTTTCGAGACAGGGTTTCTCTGTGGCTTTGGAGGCTGTCCTGGAACTCGCTCTGTAGACCAGGCTGGCCTTGAACTCACAGAGATCTGCCTGCCTCTGCCTCCCGAGTGCTGGGATTAAAGGTGTGAGCTAACAATGCCCGGCTTGTGAGGGTAGTTCTATAGGCACGGAGGTAGCAAGTAAGAATCTGGCCTGGGCAAATCTGGCCATCCCCAAGCTAGCACCTGTCCAAACCTTCGTATCTGTCACCTGGATTAAGGCAGACACCAAGTTAGAACTTTACCGAATGCCCACACTCCAGAGAACTACATGCTCACACCAGTCTCATTAGAGGGGAGAACCAAGATTCCGGGAGCTGTAGCTGACAGAATAGTAGGAGAAGGAAGTCTGAGCAGTGGCACAGGAGTGGGGAAGGCTGCGTGTGACTGGAGGCCTGGAAAAGTGAGGCATCCAAGTAGGAGTCATTGCGGTGGCCTGCCACTGACGGGACTGCTCTGGGAGGGACCGTCTTGTTCCTCACAGCCTCACCGCTCCCTGTTGCTTCCTCGTGACTGACAAACTGGGATTACTCATCCTTTCCGGGCAATCTCGCTGAACCCCTGGAGTAGACACTGGATTCCTAGACTCAAGCTCTTGCTTAGCCTAGTCACGCAGGGTGGCAGCATGCGACACAGACAAGGGGAAGCGTCCTTGGTGGCTGCAAGGGAGTCAGTGGAGAGGAATGGTGGGCGAGGTTTGTATCCTGGGATTTTCTTACAGGGAGATGGCGTGGGAGAACTGGGAAGCTGAGAGGGTGACCGAGACCACGCCCACAGAAGGGACTGAAAGTGACAGAGGTCACAACACAGGTTGGAGAAGGTGTGGGCAGAATGCAGATGAAGGCGTAGGGAATTTGGGCTAGAAAGCACAGGGTTCGTGACAGTATTATTAGCCGTCAATGTGGCAGAGTGTAGCACTACCTGGGAGATGGGCTGCTAAGCATTATCTTGATTATGTAAAGGAGTGGGAAAAGGCATCATTCAACCAAGCAGGCACATGCATGTGTCTTGGTGTTTTGATTGAGTATGCAATGTGTTCAGTTACTTCAAGTTCTCTGACACTTTGACTCTCCGATGTGATGGACTGTAAGCCAGAATAAAC